CTTTTACAGTTAATGTGTAAGATGATTTTATATTACTTTTCCTTCAGTATGTATGTTAATCCTTGACTGAGGGAAACATTTTACATAAAAATCGTTTGAGTCCATCTAGGTAACCCAACTCCTTATTGCAAAGGAAAGCTGGAAAACACTTCGTAGGGACTTTTTCTTTTGGAACGTCACAGAGGATGAAACTTGAAATCCAAGTATCCTTGTGGCAAGATGTATGCTTGGTGTCATATACATAGCTTGAGGTCAGATGCACTCTGGTCTTAGTGTGGAAAATCTTGACTTCTTCTACAATATGTTGAGGGATCCGTAGATCTGCTGATCTGCAATGGAACTGTGGGCTTGCCTGTGTTGCTGTAATGAAGGAAATGTGAACCACAGCATCCCAGCAGTGTATTCTTGCAGGAAGTGTTTATGGACTCTGCAGTTGATCTTCATTGTGCTATTTTACATAGGGGTTGTATCAGTTGATCTTCATTGTGCTATTTTACATAGGGGTTGTATCACAAGTGAATATTAATGCCCAAAGTGATAATTATTTATACACCACCATCCTTTCCGTATCCTGGTTGCACACTGGGGCATTTTCTCTCAACTGAACTTAAAAAGCACAGGAGCTAAATTTGGAACACTGCAGATTAATTGAATAATGTTATAACAGGAGGAAATATGAACTGGACAGATAATGAAATCATCATATAGGTGTTATATATTTAGGATTAGTTATAACTTCCATGGGACATTTAAAAGCAATGGCTTTTATCATTAATAACTTATAATAGTTTTGATCCATTCTCTTGAACTATATCTTAACTTGTTCCCATAGAACCATATAATTCATTAGAACCCTTGCCTCTGATTATCAGGTTCTTTAGAGGCATTGTAATATTTCTTCATTCTACAGATTAGTTGTTGTTTTTTTAATCAATGCTAATGGATATCTTTAAGACTGCAGAAATGAAAATTCTATTGTCACTGGTTTCTGTGATCAAAAGTAGAGTTGTGCAGCTGTAAGTTGCATTGTCCACAAATTGGTATGATGGCACCATGCCACATTCACACTACTATTCTTAGATGATGGGTCTCAGATTTAATAGAATCAAAGTAATGTTTCACTATCTGCTGCTTGCTCAATTATAGTGAAGCAAGTTCTTGAAGTGAACTCAGATGAACGTACTCTTTAACTAGCACACTATGCTTGTACACACATACAAACCCATAATATCCCATGAGTTTCATATTCTCCACTTGGTGTACAGCAAGGTTCATAATTAGATTCTCTAAGCCAACACTCCACTCATTCCCACTTTAGAAAGTTCTGCTTAAATATGAGAATTCTACTATCACTTAGCTATAAAGCTGGCTGGCAACGCATATCATAGCCTGATCTAACTCACAGAATTCCCAAACATACATCTTGACTATTCCCACTTCAGATTGTAGCTGGAGGCTGAGATGACTGAGTACCGTATTTTTCTGACAATAAGACGCCCCCATGTACAAGACAACCCCCACTTTTCCAACCCAAAAATAAGAAATCAATATTTTAAAGATAGTGCAGAACACTTTTTTATTTAGTAATTAGTTACCATTTCCCGGATACACTCGGTGGGA